ATTTGCTAATATTCTCAGTTACCAACATTTTACAATCATTGAATCATAGATTGCTATTACTTTTAGATTCTGAGAGGAGCGAGGAAACTATTGGTTTTACAATGGTGTTTAAATTTTTATTTTTTTTTTATATCCGGTATACAAAATTTCTACCAGAAGGAGTGCTTCGATTTCAACATGTGGTACCTTATCTTTTAGAAAATTGGATCAATATGGTACTTTAAAGAGGTCATTTTTCGATTTATCAATAGTTATTTAATGCCACGTTAAAAACCACCGAAAAATTACGGAAAACCGCTAAAAATGGGATTTTAATTTCTAACACTTTATTTATCACCATAAAAACAAATAAAAAATTATAATATCATAATATCATAATATTAATTCAACCTACAGGATATAATAAATTATAATAATATAAAATATCCAGACTGACAACCCGTCTCCGCTCAGAATCGTTTTTCTTATACAATAATATTAGATCATTAAATTCAAGTTTAATACAATCCATTATACAATGACCCACTTGTAACCTACTGTACAGCAGAGCTACATCCACTTACCCGCGTTTTTTTTATTACAGTATTAGCAACTTGAAAATATATTAAAGTTTAATATTGAAGCATTTTTATTGGCCCCAAAAGTGATGACGAACACAAAAAAAACGTTTTAAGACCAATAGGTACCTACAATCAAAGCTTCGATCAGAAACCAGAAAATTAAAGAATTGGGATTTTCTATTTTTATTTACTACCTACTCGAGGATAATATTTTATTTTAAATTAATTAATTTCTCAACATTATTAACATATTAAGTTATGATTTAAGGGTTATAAAGTTATAAAAATAAATTAAATAGTTAGTATATTTTTGATAAATCAACAATCTACAGTTACATAAAATATATACAATTAGAAGATTTGCGGTATGTAAGCATCATATCGGGGAGTGGGTGAATAGTATAATATCGCACTTCAACGTCATTTATTTAAATTTACAAAAATAAAGAAGAGAAAATAATAAGAATAATAACACTAATAATAGAGATAATTATAAAAAGGTACCTACCTACTAGGTAGTAATATTAAGTTATTTGAGTAGATGATAATACGTTAGTTAGTTGAATAAAGAAAATCCTTAGGCCATTACATTCTCGCAGGGGTTTCCATTTTCCAGAAGTGAATGTGAGGAGATATTAGAGATGAGGGGATTAGAATGTTCGCAGAGATGGTTACGTATAGTTTATTGGAATGTTGTTTGGCTATGTTACTGATTAAAATAAAATTAATATACTATTAATATTTAATATAACTTAATGAAATAGGTAATTATATTCCATATATAGGCTGCAATAATATGCATCATGAAACACACGATTTTTTAATTTTATATTAATATTTTTGTATAGCTAGATTTACAGGAGTGTTGTCAATCGGCCGTGGGTGTATATTCTCTACTTAAGACACGAAGACCAAGCTAAACAATAAACTTGGGTATCTACTACCTACTTCTTGAGGGTGCTGCAGCCGATGAAAAAAAAAGGACTTCTAGCCCAATAAGCTAGTCAAAACTGGAAGAATTTGGTTTGGCAGGTTTTAATTTTAATAATTTGTTTTAATTGGAATATTCAAAATCTCTCGATCATTCCCTAGTAAACCTGTTTATCAATCATAATCCGTTTTCAAAAGAAAAATCTGTCAAACCTAGTTCTTCCAGTTTTGTCTAGCTTATTGGTCTAACAGTCACCTTTTTTCATTTACTGGAGCCCGATCCTGCCCCATTAAGGTATATTTTATGATACGGAATTTAAATATATTGAAAAACACTATAACAAACAAAACTAATGTTTAAATTGGTCAAATCTACATTAGTTTTGACTTTTGACAAAACCGGCTGCAGCCCCCTTAACCTCATTTAAGCTTATTATTATAGAACGATTGTATACAATGTTTAATCCAAATACAAAACAAAACAATAATATTATATAAATTATACGACTTAACATAGTATATTATCATTGATAATTAATTCTTTATATCTAGTATTAATTCATAATCAGTGAAATATTATTTAATTAAGTTATATACATTATACAGTTTATTGCATATTAAAGTATAGTTGCTATGAATATTTATATATTATATCTATAGATACATTTATGGTTTATTAATACCTAAATCCGAATAATGTTAAAACTATTAACTAAATATGAAATTAATTATTATATATTAAGTTATTCAAATTACTTCATAAACACGATGTATTGTATATATAATGAACCTATGTTTGTATTGTATAATATCCGTACCCTATAGGTACTGGGAACAAAAACACTCGGTTGATCCTTTTGTTTCATACATAGTTATATTAGTATACGTCTATACACGGTATTTGAATATTAGTAAAGCACTTAAGTACTTGTTGCACATAATATATATATATATATATATATATAAACTATAATGTTTGCATACGGATGAATAGTATTGGCGTGTAATTCGATATATATATCTTATAAGATCAAATTATAGATCACATATAATATGTATTATGTGTAGCCGTATACAATATACATACACAATATATCATCTAAGAGATTTTAAGCGGAATAGGTGTTAAAGGGGTCGGTGCCGGTTTTTCCAATTTTCCGCAATTCTACAAAAATTTAAAATTTTATTTTATTTTTGTTACTACTTTAATTATAATACTTTTCCACTAATCTACTGCCTGATACCTATTTATGGGGCGGAAGGAGGAGATCTTTTTCCAGATCGGATCAAAACCCGAATTTTCATTTTACTTTAAAGCTAGAAAAAAAACAAATACTGTGCATTATTATAACACATGTTTTAGTTTCTATGATTATAATTTTAAAATCGAACTTTGTGATGTCCTGCAAAATGTTCTCTTATTTTAAATAAAAAAAATAATTAATGGGGCTATTCTATACAGGGCATAAGAGTTTTTCTATAAAAAACGCACTGGTTCCGACGCCCATAATCAAACATTTTTGTATTGTGAGTTTTTTATAGGTAGTTGTAACTTGTAGGCGTATATACTTCTAGTTCTCTCGTTACGTTTGTCACGCTAATTTAAATTATGATAATATAATTTGTGTTACGGATTCGGATACCTTACCCATTTGCCATTACCCTACCTTTATATAAGAGCGTTTTATTCAGGTACCTATAATAGCATGTGTTGTATCCGTCTTATATATACCTATCAAATTTTACGTTCAGAAAAATCCATTTTGAAGCAAGCTATGAGCATTTAAAAATTACACATAGGTTATAGGATACACACTACACAATACTATACACTTATTAAAATACTCATAACAGTCAGAACACTCTTTAATATTAAAATATCAAAAATCCATACATGGTGGCCCTGGATTATATTATTATTACCTTTAAATTTTATTACAGTTTAAAAATTAAAATGGAGTAAATGGATTCTATTGTGAACTTAAAAATATGTTATACATTAGTAAAACTGAGTTAACGCTTGCGGATATAAAGCTACATTATATAGGAACAAAACCAAACACATAATATATACTATATCCGGGAATTTTGTTGAATTGTTTGGCCAATAGCATTATTGAAAGTAAAAAAGTCTCCCCTGCCCTACGAAACTATTATGGTACAGGGTGCACTGATGTACATACAATTCCATTTGGGACGGTGGCTATTGAAATTAGGTACCTATGCAAAATACTTAGTTTAGCAATGTATATAGTGCATACCTATTATATGTATTCACAATTATAATAAAGAGTGGTATAATCGTTTCTATTGAATAATGTAAGTGCAATGAATAAATACTCTGGCACACCTACATACATGGAGGTCACAGGAAACAAAAGTAGATCAGTGGTGTTATTGGAGGGTGCGTGGAAAAAAGTGTAATTTTCCCCTGTCTAATAGTTAAAGGTTAATAGTCTAATAGTTAAAGGACTGATGGCGTTTCAAATACTAGCCCATTAGAAAAAATATATTACGTACATTTTAATATTTGTATTGCACATAATATTAAAAAAAACATCATTCTGTAATTTTTTGTTGACAGTTTTTGTAGATGTTATATTTTGATATGTATTATATTTTGTATACTTTTAATTTTATAAACACCGAATAATACGGCGAATACGGTTGAGAAAATAACCAATTCCGGCCTGCAGTTCCAAGAAACAACATGCCGGTGGTCGTGGACGGGGTTTCCCTATACAGTGAAAAAAGCAAAAGCCATGGCAGAAACGAACATTTTGTATTTGTAAAAAGGCCCAAGTTAACATTTTTCGTAGGTTATTTTTAAAACTCGAACTAAAAACATTGAACTTTAAGTAGATATTATACCTGCAGTATAAATATAGATAATAAATTATGCGGGTGTTGTGTAAGGCAACACTTGCGAGTGTAGGTTCCTTTTAATATCGTACAATATGAATATAATGATTACCATCTACGTTATCTACCACTTACCAGTGAAAAATAGCATTACTATAAAGCATTAATGGCACTATTTTTACTCTATGTATTATAGATACAAATAATTTTAAAGATAATAGGTTGTATATAGGTGTATATTGTTTATATTTTAATTATAATTAGCAGCAAGTTCATTGTATACTCGTTTGCACTTGGTTTTAATATTCATATTAGGTTATAGTAGGTATATATTATTAACTTGGCATGACAAAATAGATAGTAATTGAGTTATAATCTTGACTGTGACAAGGCTCGGGATCACAAAAAGACACGTCTACTCCACTCCCTCGCCGGCCATACACTCATTTATATGGGTTATTATAATGTTCATCCACTATGCTCCACTGCCTTTAAGGTAAATATTATATATAAATATAAAAAATATCAACACTATCGCCGCGAGACGATTGTCACTTGTTGTAAAATTATATTATATAATGTTATATCGTTACAACTTACAGCTAATATTGGTATTGTGCATGATAATAATAATATGTAAATACTCACAGTTGGAGATTCTGGGGAACCCGTCCATGTCCCTGACGACGTGCCGGTGCAGTATGTCCAGCATCATTTGACCGGGCAGGGTTCGTGCCGCAGTCGAAACGGACAGCCGGTGCAGTGTGTGTATTTTTACAAGAACGTTTTTGGCGGTGGCACGTCGTTGCGTTATTGCACAGCACCTATATATCTATACGACGGTACACGTACGTCGTCATACGCTCGTGTATATTATTATATTTATCGTATACAACAAATATCTGTACGACTTGCGATGTTCGGTTTGCGCGGGCGTCCGTTTTGCACCACGACGGTATGACTTGCAGTACGAAACGACAATATTATTATTATTATTATTGCACAAAAACTACGGGTATCCGTGTTCGTCAATCATCAACGCAGACGCCGTCGCTGCACCGCTACAACACCACGACTGCACAAGTCGCGTGGGACGGCCACGGCGGCGGCGTCGATGGCGTTGTCGCCCCGAGCACCGGTGCCGCCCACAGGACGCGTCCGTTGGCACCCGGGACGGCCCATCGATCGGCTGTTCGTCCAATGGGAGGGGGTGCGCTACTACTTGCTCTCTCACCACCCTTCGTCAACCGACGCACAACACCCGCACTGGCACCACAAGCAGAAGCCGTTTTCTTTTCCTGCGGCGGCGTGTGGTGCGGCGGCGTCGTCGTCTCGCGGACGGGGACACGGATAATAATATAGAGGCACCTCATCTATACATGCGAAAACGCCATCGTCGATGTCGCCACTCGCCCGCCGCGGCCACCCGTTTTATCGACGTTTAAGTCGCGCAAAGTCGGCGGATATAACGCATGATGTATACACGCGTATACCGCCGAAGACGCGTCGCCGCCCGTCGCCTTGCAACCACATAATATGCAGACATCATAATATACGCTGCCGCACGTCTGCATATATATATTGTATATACCTACGCTCGCTCAGGGCCGTCCTTTGAGGGTGGTTTGGGGGGGGGGGGGGTGTCTTACCGCCACTCAAGATTTTTTTTGAATATTTAGTCGGCAAATTTGGCTCTTAGTCAAAGTTTTCGACGATTCGGCATCGTCAGTATTGAATAGTATTTTTATTATTTTCAAAAAATATTTGTATTTATATATTTGATATTTGATTAAAACGACGACAACGACATTTCAAATACACCGAATTCTTAAAATAGACGAGTGTATCTACTATAGCAGTGTATTGAGCGACTGTACAACACTGTTGGTATTATTCTATTGACTTATTCTTGGTATTATTAAATTTTTGTAATTTTAACTTTTGCAGTCGATAGTTGTAGTCTATTCGACTATACGTTTAAGCCTTAAAAGCCTTAAGGTAAGTGGTAACATCTTGTTCTGTTGGTACAACACATCAACTATTACATTTTACGTTTTACATTTTCAATCCTTAGCTATAAAAGTTAATCCTTTTACACATTTTTAAATTTTTAATTTGATATATTTTGTCAAAATTTGAACTTCAATCGCTTACAAAAAATGTGTGCCCATGTATTTTTAATATTTTTTAACTGCTGTTTTAACAATATATTAAGAGCATTGTATTAAATTTTCAAGATTTTGACCCAACGAATACAATTTAATTGATATTTATAGAAAAAAAACCAAAAAAATTGAAAACTGAAAATGTCCGTAAGCAAGACAAAACAAGTCAAAATATTTTTTAAATGTTATGGTGTAAAGAAAATATAAACATTCAGTGAAAAATACATGTATCTACAGTCATTTGTTTTAAAGTTATACTAAAAACCAAGATTGATTTTGCGCAAACATTCCCGTTTTTCCTTAAATTATTTTGTTTTTCTCGGATTTATTTTACTTTCACCCATCCAGAGTACCACTAGATTCACTTTCCCATCAGAAAAGATGCTTTTGAAGAAATTCTAAGCATTTTTACTGTCTTAAAAGGTGATGGAAGACACAAAAAAAGAATAATAAACAAATAGAAAAACATACATCATTATTCATTATAAAATCAATGAATCTAAAATAATGCTATTTTTTTCTTTTATTGGTCTTAAACTCTCAACTATCGGAAACTATGGTCATTAGCATTTCTTGGGAGGCGATTACTGTTGGTTGCAGGTTGAGGAACAAGTGTGTGGGGCGAGGACTCGTCGCTAGAAACCAGAGTGATCACCCATCCGGGTGCTAGTGACATTAGTCACTACGGCCAACCATTCCACGCTTCACTTGGCCCTTATTCCTTAAATAAAGCTGTATATAATAATTATATAATAATATGTTCTTAAAATATAAATTGTAAATTGTAATGCAAAATAAAATAAAGTTTTGGAGCGAAGCGAGAAAACAATTTTTTTGAGTCGGCAAATTAATAGGTCTACCAACCCCCCCATAAATTGTTCTTCGGGACGGCCCTGCGCTCGTTGCACTTCATTACGTGTTGTATAGGTAATATTGTAATAATAAAATATAACATGCAGTGCCGCATATTTACTTATATCATCGTTTCCGTTTCCATAATATAATAATATATGTCACTTGTGTACCCGACGCTGCGGCAATGACGCGTGTTTGTGCAATTTCCATATGTATATATATATTCGATATACCTATATACGGTATGTCGGTATACCGCGGTATTTTATTTGTGGTATATTAACAAATACGCGGGTGCTGTAAACTTCGTAGGTATAGCACGTAAAATGTCCACGAATTTCCACTATGTATATAATATACTTAAGCACTGTGTATCTTATGTCGTTGTATACGCGTGATTTTTTAATGATTATATGGATCAATAATAAGGAATTTCAAAGAACGAAAAAGACGGGTATTTTCCCCTGGGAATTTTTTTATCATAATTTCAACATTTTTAAGCACACAGTTGTAGCAATAGGTAACAAAATCGACCTAATTTTTTCTAATAGCAACAACTGTATTTTGGAATGGATTCTTGTAAAGCTTTTTCCTGAAAATGTTGATACTCAAATTATTACCAATTTTGGTTCGCTATATATTATAGTTTATCAATCACGGTCCACTAAAGTTTAATAAATTCATTAACAGATATACCTACTTTTAATTGAAATAATTGGTATAACTGTATAAGTTTAGTTTATAAGAGCTACATTTTTTTATTCAACTTATCTTTTAAGGCAATTTCATATTTTTTTATACACTTAAATCGGTACTGTACTTCGCCAAAAAAATAGTTGACCAAACATAATCATAGGTTATTAGTTTAATTTTAACATATTAAAATAAGTATTATTATTGTAGTTATAATAATCATTTATCATAATGAATTGATTGTCTTTGTACACCTATACCTACTTTACATTTTTTTCTTCTCAATTAGGTATAGGTATACTATTATCTTACAAATTACAATAGCATAAATTTGGATTCTTATTTAGGTAACTAATAGGTAATAAATAATAATTTTACCGATATAACCTATTCGATTATTATTAGATATTAAATGAATTCTGTAAATCTGTAATTAACTCAAATTCATAGATTAAATCAGATTATAGGTTACCTATATCTAATTTACGTATACCAACCTATATTGATATCGGCTATTTATGTAAATATCTTGCATTCTTGCTAATGGTTTATTTTAAATAGCGATAATCAAAAGATTCTTGTAATCAAACTTAGGATAACTTTCAGATGAATATTATAGGAATTGTCATCAAAATATTTGGCGTTGCAGGTATACCGGGTTAATAATTTAACGTAAGACACTTATTATTCAAAAAATATTAATGTTTATGAAAATATTTTTTTTACATGGTTTCAATTCGTTTTAAAACAACGTTTTTATTAAAAACTTATATTTTTATCCTTATAATTGTTTAAGTTTTTACTTTTGTGTATTAAAATTTACCACGTACAGTTTTAATTTCATCTTCGAAAGCAGAATATTTTTCTGAATACTTCGAAAATTGAATTTAAGATGAGTAGATTACGAGTTAATCTCAGATTACGAGATTAGGTATCAAAGATACTTAGATAGGTAGGTACCATAAATTTATTGTATTTATACTTATAGTTATATATGTGTGCATCATATACGCTCGTTTTATACCTATCTCTATATGGTATTTAATAATATTTATTGTACATTATGTATATACACATTATACATAGGAAACAGAAATAAACTGCTGGATAATATTATATAATAGTATACTTATATATCATATAGTATCTCTCAGACATATTCACTCGACTATATAGGTACAGCATCAGTATTTTTCTTTATTAAAGATAATTTTTCATTGCGCTCCTACTATATGTAGGATAAAATATATAATATAAGGATGGTACTTTCCAACTATATATTTTCCAACACAAAGGACATATAAAATAATAATAGGTATGTGTATTGTGTACAGATACATGTATATTCATAGGTATTACATATCTGTATAACTGTATGAGGTATATAAAAAATAACGATATTATGCAGTTCACATCATCACCACAAATAAAAAAAGCAGGTTATTGCAATATCCAAGTTTAATTTCATATTACATTATGGCAAGTGTGTATATGAAAAAACTAAAAAGATAAAATTGGTATGAGAATTCGTAAATCCAAGATATTGTGGCCATTGAGAAATAATGATTATATAGGTATCTACTTAGTTTATTCATATAATAAATAATATGTTAATTTTTTTTTATTATTGAACTTGAGCTCGGGAACTGGTCATTATAGCTATTGTAGGGATTATACTTTTGGTACGGTTGAAACGGTAGGTTAAGCACCAAATTATGTATGTGTTGAGGTTTTTGCCACTACGAACCCGGTTGGTCACCCATCCGGGAACCAGAGGCAGCTGATGTTACTTATTCTCAATCACATTGCCTGATTAATTGCAGCCAATGCGCCGTGCCAAGCCACATAATATGTTTAATTACATCGGATATTAATTAATTTAAATATACCTACATATTTTAAATATAAAGAAATTATACTAACAGAATATATTTAGGTACCTATCTTGAAACATAATAATACCTTAAAACCAGTGGCGTAGCCCTCTTAACCCCCCCCCCCCCCCATTGACTGTGTTGAGGTTAGAATTTTATCAAGATTAATAAAAAAAATAAGAAGTGTAAATAAAATATGTATTGTATTTGTATTTTTTGTATTTTTTGTGAGACTTAGCCCCCCTATACAAAATTCCTGGCTACGCAACTGCTTAAAACTATATTTGAAACATATTGATGAGGATTGAAATTATTATTTAATTCCTTAGTCTAATACGTCGTTAAAATTGCCTATATGAAACCCTTTACAAATCATTATTCAGTATTGCGAAGTTGTGCCTGTCTCATAAAGGTATTTTTGTTTAATATACAGACATATAGACCATATAGTATTGTAATATTTTAATTTATTATATCAATGAAACATAATGTATAATAAATATAATATTTATGTAATACATTTAAATTTTAAAAAGTAATAATTATCTTAAGCTTTTAATATAGGTTTCCCAATTCCCCTATGGCCCTATGGGTAATAGATTCCAAGTCCCTTTAAATATATTTTCGATTCTGAGCTGAGCGAAGAATGTATTGATTTTACAATAAATTATGTGTATTTTTTGTTTTTATATTTTTTGTATGTCTGTGTACACGTTATAACTATATAAGTAGTCGAAATAATGTTTTCATTTTCATTTTTCAACTTCAGTATCTTTTCTGATGGGAAGTGAATCTAGTTCAAAAGGTAAAAATTTAAAGTACCCATTAGTTTTCAAAAGCAAAGGGTAAAACAAAAAAAAAAATAAACAAAAATGGGAATTTTCACGCAAATTCGGATTTTGACAAAATCAATTTTGGATTTTGGTGTAACTCTTAAAGAAATGATCGTATAGGTTGTACATTGGTTGTTTATAATAGCATTTTCTTTACACGTTAAGATTTTCAAAATATTTGATTTGTTTCGAGCTATTTACGGACATTTTAAATTTTCAAAAATTTTTAACAATTTAATACAAGGCTCCTAATATATTGTTACATTGATATTTTGCCATATGTAAGGTTTTTATAACTGTTAACGTATATGTATATATGAGAAGCTGAGTCGGACATGACAGTAGGTATTAGGTGAAACTTGTGTGAGTTTGGCCAAATCGTTGGCTCTATCGTTAATTGTTATACTGCTGTGAGTTCGAGTTGGGATCCACAAAAAGTAAATATTATGTTTGATTTTTGTATGGGTTGTTGACTTGTTGTAACTAATATTTCGTATATTTATTGAAATATTTATGAAGCATTTTATTGCTCCGAAAGAGGATAACAGACACAGAAAGAAATTAAAACTAAGCACTTAGATATAGGTACGTGCTATATATATTTTTTTTAAATTGCAAATGTATACAATGAAATCTCTAAATACCGGAAACTCTCGGTTACCGACCTTTTTTCCACTATTCGAAGATGGCCGCTATTCAGAGGGTTCACTTTGTAAAAATTTTATAATTTGTTTCCAGAAATACGTCCGATATTAATTAGAGGTGTCTATTAAAGGAGGCTTCACTGTATTCATTTGGAATCGTGTTTACATTTATAATCGCGTACAACTAAAAAAACTTAAATTAGTAGTTTAAACTTCATTTAAATGACCCATAGGTGTAATGAGGGGTGCTTAGAGGCACACTTAGTTTTGAAATTAGCACCCTCACATTTATGTCTTTTGTGGACAACTGAAAAAATATAAGGCTTCAGCAGTTAGCATCCCCAGTTTTTTCATTAAAATTGCGCTGGGGTCTCAATTTAACTAGTTGTGCCACTGCTCTGAAGGCCGCATGGGCCACATAATCATAGTCTATATAGATTGTAGCTGACTATAGCTGCATGAATTTCATAAATTAATTTGAAAATTATATAAGTTTATTATAATAATATTATAATTTATAGAATATTAGAATATAGTATCTACATCCCACCTACCTACATTGTGAATGTGAGTATACCTATAGTATATAAGTACATTCTAGAAATTCAACTTGAATATTTTTTCTCTAAATTAATTTTTTTAGTTTTAGTTTTTTTTGATTTATTGAAATTATTGAAATATAATTTATTTATACCAGTGGTGTCATTTGGGGGTGGCAGGGTAGGCATTTCCTCCCCCCCCCTTCCTTGTCATTAGCGGGCCGCTGAAGGGCCGGGTATAGGTTAGTTTTGGGCCTTCATATAGTAGCTAATAGGTGGTAATATATTTAAGTATCCTCTACATAACATATTCATTATTTAGTTATTGTTATCAAAAATATGGGTTACTTATGCTTATGATAGTAACCTTTAATACTAACTAGTAAGTATAAAATGATGTAAGAAGGCTTTTCGTATTGAGATAAAAATGCAATTGTAATGTAATGTCATTGATATCGAGCGATTTTTTTTTTCAGTTTTATTTTGGGCCGGTCAACTATTGGGTCTAATTTATCATTTATCAATTAAGATTAGACGTTATAGGAGTTAAATTAAGTACCTATATAATATACTATAATTTACGACAAAAATAAAATAACTGTTCTGTCTTTGTAATTTATATCTATAGATATACAGATCGCATATTGAACCTTATGAATTGAGTTATTAAATTATATGTATATGTAAATAAGTAATACGATTGAGAACGTTCGACCTTTTTTAGCGTACGATTGAGATCACTCGAAATGGAACAATGAAATAACCGCTGACCCAATAAAACAGTACTATTGAGAACGAAATTAAGTGCAACGTTGCCGAACTATATTCAAGTCAAAATAAAAATTAAATAAAACATTGAATAAAATAATTAAAAATTATAAATTTTAAAAATGTCACAATTTTTAAAAAAATTTGTATTATTGGTACCTACCAATAATACAAACATTTAAAAATAATTTACAATTTAATTCCCCTATATAAATTTCCCAGATGTGTTAAATATTTTGCTAATCCTTCAGAAGATTTTTTTGACAGTAGTTTATAAGACTGTATTGTTTTTGAAATTTTTTCTTCATCTGCTTTTAATGCCTTTTGAACAGTACCCTGTTGAATAGTATTGAGTTTTAAAAACGTTTATTCCTGCCACATAGACAGTGTGTGAGCAGTGCTAAGAGTCATATATATTTATATAGGCTATAGCCATAGCCGATTTTTATATGGCAGTTTGGTAACGTTGAGCGGAAAAATAAAAACTGAGCGTTCTCAATCGTAATAGTCAAAAGGGTCTAAGAAAGGTATCGCCAATAATGACCGTTCTCAATCGTATTCCTGCCATGTAATATATATTTTATTTTTTTATTTTCATTAAACGATTAGTTTAGGTAAATATATTGTAGGTACATATAGGTACAATGATATTCATATTTCTATATTCTCTAAAAATAATTAAATTTAATAAACTAAATTATATATAGGTATAAGCATTAAGCAGAATAATAAAAAATATCTTAAAAACAGTCTAGAAAAATGTAATCTCACAACCTAAAGCATTAATAGCCAAAAAGGTATTTTAAATTGTACAAGTTATAAAAATTAAATCACACAAGTAACCATGGTATTTAAATGAGAAATCGTTGCTTAATATGAATTTACACAGCGGTACTTGCCCCTTAAAATGTTAGTCAATTACTTACTTTACTTATATAGTTATATATACTTTTAATTCTTTTGTATACCTACCTATATGCTATAAATAATTAACTATTTGTACGACATTCAGTTTTATACATAAAAATTCTTAAAAAAATATAGAGCTTCGAAGTATGAAAAGTTTGTTGTCAAACATAAGTAACAGGTTAAAAAATGACAATGATATAAAATAGTAAAAATACTGTTTTTTAATAAAACCAAGTTTATGTAAAATTATTATATTTTAAAAAATTAATACTTTTAGATATAATGAGTGATTACTGTTAAGAATCATCTATAGTTAATACTTACACATTTTAAAATGTAGTTTAAGTTTATACAAAATAATAATAGGCTAGCTGCAGAATAAAACCGTTGATGTTATTACCACAAACCATTAGTTCATGTAAAATCTATATAAATGTTTACAAGAATATGCGCGTATATATGATGTAAAATATTTTAACTATACCTATACTTATAACTATAAGTTTATATTATTCCAATAATATTATAAATAATCCGATTTAAATCTATTTGGATTATTACACACCCGTTCCAGGGATTGATGTACCTGAAAATATTATAATTTATACAATAGAAATTAATAGCATAGTTCAAGTACCTACACATCTATATTATAGTTGCGTAATGTAGAAATTGAGTATTGAAATAGGAAAACATTTTGAAGATTTTAACCCTAAAAGATTATAATATTCTAGACTTGTAAAACAAAAAGTTTATTCAATAAACAATCGTAGGTATACAACAAATATAGAGCCACGTGCCCACGTCAAGGATTAGTACAAGTAAAACTACTCACATACATTTTAGAATGTGAGCGGAGTGATGATGTATACCTATAGTATACCTAGATATTGGTTTTAAAATGATACATTTTTAATTTTTTTTCTTCATTTATGTTGATGCATTTTTTTTTAAATCAGACAAATTCTAAATAATTTATATCACGAACATATTGACACTTCTCTAAGGCAGAGGTTCCCAAACTTCTTATGGTACGACCCATTTTGGAAAGTATTAAAATTTTGGCGCCCCACAATAATATTTTTTTTTGTGCTGATCGAATAAAACGTAAAAAATATAGTTTTACTGAAAGTAATTGATTTGAACGTCATGCAGGTACTAATTTGTTTCAAATAAATTGTTATATTTTCAATAACTATATTAATCTAATTGCTTCGTGTTGATATGGTCGCAGTAAATTTGTAACTGTTACAAACGCAGATAGCGATTTATGATATAACTAAATTTAGGTAACGAAAAGTAATAGAAACACGTGCCTAAAAAATTTATCATTTAAAAATGTTCCACGACCCACTAAAAATATAATCGCGACCCACTGTTTGGGAACCTCTGCTCTAAGATATACACCGATATTGACTCACATAACAAATTATGTATAGTACCTACCTATCAAAAATGTGATATTTTTGCCAAAAATTAGTTCATGTATTACGTATAGAAAAAATAATGTAAAATACTCAAAGAAATGGAGTCCGTCTACTACAATAGACTAATTAACTTACTATACAGCACAGCTAATTACCAGTTTTTAAATATCTAATCTGAAATCGGTGAAATAGTATTTTGAATAAATTATTATCTATTTGAAAATTATGAGGAATTTGTATTCGAAATATATAGTATAGAAATTATTTACATCACATCGAGTTTACTTAATACCTATTTATTAAATTTTTTAATAACAACAAATAAAAGTATTTATGGGTGATTTTGAAATTATATTTGAATAACAAATGTAAATGAAAAAAAAAATGTATCACCTGTAAAAATACTTTAAATACAAAAAATAGCAATATATTTATTACTAATAAAATTTAATATTAAATTACACAAATTCCTTAAATAATATTTGTTGAAAAATATGTACTGAGATACATGGTTCATTCACATTTGTTTACTCGGATTATTATTATTTTTGATTTTCGAATTTTACATCTCTTTCATGCTGAAAATCTCTTGAAGAATTTTCCTTACGTTCTTTATTATCTGCTGTCGCTTGGATTGCATTCAATTTATCTTCAATTTCCAATTGGTTATACTTACCGTTGTAGTAAGGACAAAACTGTAACACAGTGCGCCACTCCGTTACATAACAAAGCAGTACAAAACTTGTTACACCAAAAGACAATCCGGACAGACCCCTAAAAAAAAAGGTATATTATAATTTAAGAGCTCAAAGCATTTAGTCTGATGTGAAGAACTTTAATATCACAACGACCAAAAACCATAGGGTTATTCACTATATTATGTATAATATTATGTTACAATACATTTTATGAATCGACTCAAATAGTTTAAGATTTATTTTTATTAAACACTTTTATAAAATAGCTATTTGTTTTCCAACATTAATTAATTTTGAATACTGGTTATAATAAATATAAAGGATTATAAATGTATAACTGTTATTTTAATTACCTACTTAACTATAATATTAAATTATAAAATTTAAAAATATATAACATTTACCTAAAAAATAAATATGGGGTTCTAATTAAATAATGATTGGCTTCATAGTCCGATAGACGTAGGGAAAAGTTTAAATTATATTATTATGGGTGTGTTTAGTATGTTAGAAACGGTTTGTGAATAGTTATAAGGAGTTCACAAACCATAGTTATTAGGGTGGTCCTTATTTTTAAACTTCAAAATGTTTGATTTCTTACCTTTCCATTTTGTTCATTACTATAAGAAAGTAATTGCTGTCAATAAAAAATACATTTATACAATTTCTTATGAATCTATTAATACGTAAAAATATTGAATAATTTGAGTATTAATGTTATTTCGAATAAATTGTGTCTGATATGATGGTTGATTTTCGAGCATCCGGGAATATCTTTCTATGACATAAATTATTTACTCATAGTAATGAACAAAGGGTAAGATATCAAAAATATTAATATTTTTTTTTCCTTATAAATAAGGACCATCCTATTAGGTATATTATAATAAACAGGTACGCATTTACTGTCAGTTTTCACGCTTGACCTGAGTATAGTAGGCCCCTCCCCGAATTCCACAAAAAAATACTATTATAGTAAAACCTCCCTATAACAGACTATATTCTATAAGATTGAAATCTCCTTACAACGAAAACACCAACAGTCACATTGACCTATAGTTCTGTGTTTCAAAGTAAAATACACCGGGCCGCGACCAGCTTCCGTCCGGCGGCGCGCATCTTCTCAGTCCTCATAACGACAGATAGTGACCGGTTGAAAGGAAAAAAAGTGAGTAGAACTAATGTATTCTACTTTGAGACCTATGTAAAGTACCTACGTATCCCGTAATTATATCCCGTATATTTTAGTCTCTCTATAACGGAAAAATCAGTTGGACCTGAGTGATGCCGTTATAAGGAGGTTTACTGTATTATAGTATTATAATACAGTAGGTTGTCATAGGCACCAGTAGCGGATGACCAGTAGTTGATTCGTCTTCTAGGGGGGGGGAAGCAATATGTAAGTACGGCAGTACGAAGTATGTGTTATACGTAAATATTAAACCTACGTATCCTTTTATAATATAACCGTTGTGGTGTTATATTATAGTATAGGCCGTGTATTCTTCATTAAATATTCAATAATTAATGACTAGTTGTAATTTTAGTTAAAGTCCACCCCTTTCGCACACATACCTACACTAATTGATAATAATAATTTTTTAATGTATAACTTTGACAGTGAACATTTCTTCGAACAAACATTTATACTGTATTTTAATAATATATTCGTAATAAATCAGTATTTTATATATTAAAATTTATTTTCATACTCTAGAATGTCCCCTCTCCTATAATAAATACCCTGGATCAACGCATATCGAGTAGTCTGTATACAATATACTTGGTGTTACTGACTAATAAATTTGGTATTATTTGACACACGGTGTCGCACCGATGAGGTCGGGACATAAAATACGATCCATGCCATTTGTAGCAAATTTATTTTTATCTACCTGGGTATCAAATTTAAGTGTTACGCATAATAATATAGTATGTACTATAAAATACATATACAGATAAAATATAAAAACGAGAATTATAAATGTATAACCTAAAGGTAGTATATTATACGATATAAAATATCGATAGGTATACAAGAATACAAGATATGTGTAATCTCTAAAGCTTTTTAGCTTACTTATTGTTACTTTTTAAATATTTTAGTAAAAAACTATTTTGACCATAATTTCGTAACATTTTTGGTGTTGTCAATGTGGGGATGATAATAATAAGTAATAACTCTGAACTCAACAATAGTTATTACAACTAAAGTGCTATAGGTACTTGGATATTAACAACTGAAAGTTACACTTGAACAGTTAATGTAATTATAACGAATCACTTTATATATTGAGCTTTTGGTCTGCACAATACTGTCAATACTATTTATTATTTATTAATTATTTATTTATATAATGTATGGATTTTTGGTAGGTAAACCAATTTTCTGTTCAAAAACAAACAATACGCTGTATTGTAGAATTTCCTACAAGTTGAAAAAATATTGTATATAATATATTATATTATATACTAGATTCCGGTGTTTGTCATCCCGCCTACGGCGGAAAGACTGTGTGGGCGGTGGTGCATCTTTGTCGGCGATGCTGGGTTTTTTGATCCAGCCTAGCTGCGGCGGGAATGGGGGGTCGTCGGTTATTGTGTTTTGTCGTGTTGGCAGCACTGGCTAAGCGGTAATTTTTGAACTCGGAAGAGTGTCTAGTCGTAAGTCACGCGATTCAAGTCGATCGTACGACACAGCCAGCCAGGTAGGCAATCCGACTACGTCGGATCGCAGACCATACACCGGGCGGGTATGTCCGGTTCTGGTGTGTGTGTGTGTTGAAATCGGAAATTCGGATTCTGGGTTTGAGTGTCTAGCTATCAGTCATCTCGGGTAAAAGTCGATTCCCGAGTGTCGGATGCAGTGGGGGACACTGGGGGTGTAAGTCGCTCGTATGCAAGTAGCTAGTCAGGTAGGCAATCCGACTACGTCGGATCGCAGACCATGCACCGGGCGTGTATGTCCGGTTCTCGTATGTGTGTTGAAATCGGAAATTCGGATTCTGAGTTTGAGTATCTAGCTATCAGTCATCTCGGGTGAAAGTCGATTCCCGAGTGTCAGATGCAGTGGGGGTGTAAGTCGCTCGTATGGAAGTAGCTAGTCAGGTAGGCAATCCGACTACGTCGGATCGCAGACCATGCACCAGGCGTGTGTGTCCGATTCTCGTATGTGTGTTGAAATCGGAAATTCGAATTCTGAGTTTGAATGTCTAGCTATCAGTCATCTCGGATGAAAGTCGATTCCCGAACGGACAATCCACCTGTGGCGGATCGGATGCAGTGGGGGTGTAAGTCGCTCGTATGCAAGTAGCTAGTCAGGTAGGCAATCCGACTACGTCGGATCGCAGACCATGCACCGGGCGTGTATGTCCGGTTCTGGTGTGTGTGTGTTGAAATCGGAAATTCGGATTCTGAGTTTGAGTGTCTAGTTATCAGTCATCTCGGGTGAAATCCGATTCCCGAACGGACAATCCGCCTACAGCGAAAAGTGCTCGAAACGGCCGTTCAAATATGAAAAAGTATACAGGAGGTAATAAAATTGTATTTGTTGATAATTATAGAGAACAGTTATCAGGTGTTTTATGTTAGGCTTCACTGTAATCAATGTAATCATTGTTATGTTTTCGCGGTTATAACAAATAAGTCGACAAAATCTAATTTTCTGATTGGATATTTTCTAAAATATACCTACCTTGTATATTTATTTAATTATGAGAATTAAGTCAAATTAACAAATAGATAATTATATTGGTGAATAACAAATTTTATTGAAATGTAATACTATCCTATTAAACGTAGGTATCTATAAATGAATACATTATACATACTCTCGTTTCCGACACACTACTCCACCCCGGGACTCGAATTTTCGAAAAAAACGGCAAATGAAGCAGTCATATTACAGTCGTACTATTTTTTAATATAGTATTTATAATCTGTAGCAGTATTTAACCAAATCGGAATCACGTAAAAACTGTAATATATCAAGTAGGTACTACACCTAGGTTAGTTATATTATAATGTATTATTAAAAAAAACATGTAGGTGCGTCGGTAAATGTTAATTATAATTATTTTTTTGCCCAATAAATATCGTCAAACGAATAATAATAATATATATAATATAATAATGCAAATTTAAAAAAAAAAAATTAACACTTTCGTTAAAAATGATAAATGTGACGAAAAAAAAAACGCAAAAAAAAGAAATTCGATTTAACACGGCCCGCCGGCGTTCGAAACCACGACCGTCGAATCACCCGTTTTAACGCCTAACCTACCTAGCCACCTACCGAGATGAAATTAGGAGTCAAATCTATGACTCTTAAGGGCGTTTGAGCGGACCACCGTGTCCGCCACCTTCGGACGTTCAAAACGCGAGATTTGCGAAAAAAATCGAACCTCGAGGCGCATGTATATACATGCGTATATATGCCTGTATATAGCGATACCTACGCGGTACCTACTCTCGTTTCCGACACACTACTCCACCCCGGGACTCGTCTGTGGCTATAAATATAGCAGGGAACGCGAATAAGTAGTCGACGGGGAGGGTGATATGACCGAAAGGGGCTAAAACTATAATTTTCAAAAAAAACGGCAAAAAGAGCAGTCATATAGTCGTACTATTTAACTGCCAGAGTTTAATCAGTTCTATTAGATCTATTAGTTTATTAATACCGTATTAAACAGTATTTAACCTAAAAACTGTAATATATCAAGTAGGTACTACATGTAGGTTAGTTATATTATATTGTATTTATATAAGAAACATATAGGTGCGTTGGTCACGGTAAAATCAAGTATTATTATTATTATTTATAAAATAGTACAGTATCATTATACAATTTAGTTACAATTTAAAATATCTACTTTAATTTATATTAATATTTTTTTGCCAAAAAAAAAAAAATGTGACGAAAAAAAAAACTCGAAAAAAAAAAAAATTCAAAATACCACGAATGGCGCAAATTATCGTAAATCCCAGAGGCCGGGTTCGAACCCACGACCCTCGAGTCACTTATCCTAACGCCTAACCAACCTAGCCACCTACTCAGATGAAATTCCGAGGCAAATGTATGACTCTTAAGCCGCGTCGCCGTGCTCGCGGCGATGAAATAAAATTCTTATCACTTTCCTTATCAATAAAAACAATATTTAAGAAAATCCCAATAAATCCTATCAAAAACTCAAAACCCCGAGTTTCCCCTTGGCGAGGTGGGTGTTAGTACTCTCCCGGACCAAAATCCATCAAAAAAGCAAAATCCAAAAAGGGGGGGAGGAGGTGCCCCCGTTCCCTAAAGCGGAAAACGGTAGTATTCATAAAAAGAATGGGTTCCCCCTTGGTCCGAGGTCTTTAACTTGAATTCCGGCCGAGTTATACTCAACTCAAAATGTGGGGGGGGTGGGGGCTTTGGTTCCCTAATGTTGAAAATTCATCTGGGGCCTAAAAAATTGAGATGCCCATTGGTACGGGGTCTCTAAGTCGAATACCGGCTAAGTTATACTTCGTCAAAAATAATTACTCGTTTAATGGGTCCCCCCCTCCGGCCGACGGTCGCGGGGTAATCGATTTATAAGACGTTATTATCACGTCAAAAAATTGAAAAACACGGGTTTTTTTTTTAATAATAATAATAATGTTCGAAAATATTCGTCGATAAGGAAATGGGAGATAAGCGAGCGGAATTTATAGCGAACGCGCGGGAAGTATTGTGATTGGTCGTCATGGAAGAAACGCGGAGTGCCGTGAGCGCTCCCCGCGGATCTTATACGCGTTATTAGCGTTTTATTATATAAGATTATGTATAATTGTATTTTTTCAGCTGATTTAAACCAATTTTAACATATTTAGAGTCTATAATGCCTAAAGATTAGATATTATTACATTTGTGTAAAATACATAGATTTTATAAGCATAGATAGGACATTCACATTTTAGCCTTTAGGCTTGTGGTTTTGTGGTCCTGAACTGATAAGATTTTGAGGGCGTTTGCTTAGCTTTTTGTATGATATGGACATATGGTTGTATAATATATGTATAATGTATATACAGTGGCGAGCTGTAGGGCTAAATTTGGACGCAGCTGCGTCAACTTTTCAAAGGGTGGCATCTCCGTGACTGTGGCGCAGGATTACATGCTAAGGCCCGACCTCTAGGCTCTTTTGACCACATTTTATTTAAAACATAAATTGTATATAAGTTATACCTAATGGGTGGTGGTGGTAGGTAAATATAGTTACTTAATTATGAAAATGCGTCATTTAAAATTTAAGCTTAGTCCGCCACTGTTAAGAGGACGCTATACCCGCATGTGTTGTCTCCGTCTTACAAATGTACAACATATCGAAAACTATTTTGCGCGGGAAAGAACCGAGAAGGCTACAGTCATAACTAAGAAACGAAATTTTCACCACATAAAAAGGAGAACTATGGCTGTGCAACGTTGTTTTTATTTTTTTGATATCACTTATATGAAAAAAGTTCTTACTGTTTAAAAAACCGTTATTGTTTGTGTTTTTCAAACTTGAAAAACTTTTTTCATATAAATGATATCAAAAAAATAAAAACAACGTTGCACAGCCAAAGTTCTTCTTTTTATGTGGTGAAAATATCGTTTCTTAGTTATGATTGTAGCCTTCTCGGTTCTTTCCCGCGCAAAACAGTTTTTTGCTATGTTGTGCATTTGTAAGACGGAGACAACGCATGCGGGTATAGCGTCCTCTTAATATATATTGATAAATGATAATCGATGATCACAAATATCTATATTACACTAGATACTAGATAGCCGGACTCTCTTCAAATCAATGACGCCTAGAGGCCATATTCAGGTAGAGCAATGTTTACAAATATTTATTACAAAATATTTCTTATCGTTTCATCATGATAATTTATATCAGCAACATGACCAAAATTTACTATTATTTATCATACTGGAGCATATAACATAATTTCGTAAACAATGCCCTATTGAAAAATAATAATACATTTAATTTTTAGCCATTATGGGAATATTATTTTATTCGTATTTGTAAACGGGTAGGTACAACTCTAGAGTTGCGATAGGAAAACCAGTTTTCACTAGAGGTGTAGACGTGTAGTACGGCCGTACAGGTTTGAGTGAAACGCAAATGTGAGCATAGAAGTATGAAACTATATGAAAAATGTAAACATTCAGTAAACACAGCATCACAGCTGTTATCGATCTCTAACAGCCGTTTGCTTGATCACCACATGACAATTATAGTGTACAATCATAATTGTTTGTCAAGTTAAATACCTAAACTTGTACTTAAAATAATTCCAACTGTCTCAGTCCTCATCAATTGTAAAAACATGCATTTTTAATTAAAATTAAAATTAAGTTCAACTAAAAACAAAAAATTTAAAACAGTTGACTATTTTTTGATAGATTAATTTGTCTATTTTATGACTTTTATACATTTTGAAAACATATATTATAATCTGTTTGAAAAAATATTTACAAAAAATGTTACCGCAATCTTTAGAACTTCTCGTGTTTATTTTATAGAAAAAATTATGTTCCCACGAACAACAAAGTTTAGTACAATTAGCTTAAAAGTGCAAGCAGCCGATTAATAACAAAAATATCTAAATAAATAAATATTATATTTATAGTGTTTAGCTGGTTGTTACCTGGGTAAAATAAAAAAAAAATTGGGTAATAGAAATATAATATTAACCAGGTAGGTTGTAGGTGTATATTATGTTTTTAATTTGTATCGTTATACCTATAGTACACGTTTTACGTGATTCAGTGATTGTGTTTTATAAGCAAAAAGTATTTTTATTTGGTTTGTTGTTATTACCTTCTGTGATTGCTGAAATAACATAATTTACTATATAATTACCATGTTTTCAAAGCGACAGTAGTCTTGTACAGGCTTGGCATCATTTTCTTGGACATTGGTGTCAACGGGATGCCTTTGTTATTAATTTTTGACACGATTTTTGTAAACATGATTATATTTCGTACGGACCGACTGAACGTCCACGCAAATACGCAATTGAAATTTTGTAAATCGGAATGGCCGACGATTGCTGCAGTGGAAAACTTGGTTATATTTACGTTCAAGAATTTCAAGAGACCTGTAGCAGTTTAATGTTATGCAACACTATTGTATATCAACAATAAAATTCACATTAAATAACGATTACAGTCCATGTAAATAGATAATATTATAAACAAAATACGAAGTACGAGCTCGAATCACAATCAGTGTTCATGAATTATGAATCATGCAGGGTCGACCAAAGTATTTTCCAGGCTTCCAGCAGCTGCTGCATTGACGTGCCGTGCACAATATACAATATGGACAAAATAAAAACTATTTATGTTATTTTCCTCCAAGGCTTGGAACATTGTGATGAACGTTAGTTTGTCCAACATTGGCTTTTATATCAAATGTTTTACACTCTTACGTTCGATTAGATTAGATTTTATATTTTTGTTGTTTATGCAATTATGCATTGTGTTTCGGAGTATGGGTACAAATGATGTTTAACTAATACAAATGAATTAAAACAGACAAGGACTATAAATACTGTATAAAATATACGTAAAATGTATGGGTGCTTAAACATTATAATAGGAATTGGGGTTGGACTTAACAAAATATATGCATAAATAAACAAGCAAATCGTCTTATTTAACATCCTATTAAATACGTATTAGCAAATAATAATAACTATATTTATTGAAAACAGTGAATTTAATTTAAAAAATATGATAACATAACTTAAAGAATAATCCCCGTTATTTAACAATAATATAACAATGCTTTTATTAACATTATAACTTTTTTTTTTTTTTTTTTTATTTATTTGAAGAAATCTACAATCTATACATGCTTTTGTACAATAAGTAGGTTTGATATAAGAAAGGTAAAAATATGATATGAGTAGTTAGATTAGGGAAGATACCCAGTGGTAACACCCTATGTAAACATTATAACTTAAAAGACAATATTACCATTGTAAATTGTGGAAGGATGTAAATATGAAATTATAAAATACTTTTTATGCAAGTTTAAAATTTCAATATTTATTTTAAAAATAATGAGATTATTGAGCATTATTTCTTATAGGTAAAGATGAGGCCTTCATTTAAAAATATTTACCACTAATTAGTTATTAAATAGGTTTTTATTATTGGAGGTGTCTAACTCAATAATATGGTCACAACCCGAACTTTTCAATCGTACGTCGAGAGTCAAACTGAAATTTTAATAGAATGTCCAACCGAAACGAACTGAACAACACAGTTTACAACTCCATTTAATACCGAACTAAATCCTAACAAAACTTTTGAACCGAATGTCGAATCAAACTTCTTAGTTGTATGTCAAAATAATTAACTAGTATAAAATACAGGCGTATTTTTCATCAATAAAAAAAAAACAATAGACAAAAAATGTTTAAAAATAAACTATAAACACCAGGAAATTTTTTTTTTTTGAAACGTTTGAAGTGTTAAAAATGTTTTTGGAGTTAAGATTAATATTATAGAATTTCAAACTTTGAACTTAGTTTTTTAATTTTTAAGTGATTTATGAGCATTTTCAAATATTAATATTTTAGTTTAGTTATGTCTTAACTCACTTAAAAATTAAAATATGATAAGAAACCAAAGAGAGAACACAGATAATGTTCTTACATTTAAGTTTAATGGATCAATTCGTTCGAATAGTTAAGCTACCAAGTACCAATACAATATTGGAACTGCTTGATGTACAATTTGGTATATTATACATTTATACGTTAGTAAGACTGCAGACAGAATACATACGAGTATACAACGTCCTCTTAATAGGTACCTACATTAATTAAAGAATAATTATTTGATTATAACATAATATTGTGTTATTAAAAATTTTGAAGATAATATAGATTCTAACATAATATACGATATACCTTTCACTTATTAAACTTGTCACAATTTTATTTAATTACATTTATATGGAGATCATAGACATTTTTTTAAATTTAAGTTTAAGTTTGTTGCAACTTATAAGCAATTTATTTCGCATGACATAACTGCAATGTGCTAGTGTCACGTTGCTCCATATTGTAGCTTTTATGATTAAATTGTTTCATGTATGATATATATTAATATTATGTTTAATAATGTGCTGTCGCCTATTTATAATGAAAAGTACCTACTTAAGTACATTGTACATTCTAGTATAATATACATACCTATTTATAAACAGTTCATTAAGTACCTACTGGCTAAATCCCAGTATGTGGTCGTTACTTTGAAAGTTAGAACTTATGATGACAACGTTGTTGTAGTTATCTACAATATTTTGTGTAATATTCATAGAAAATGGTTAAAATTAAACTATATCCCAACTCCCAAGTGTCCAGAAATCGTTTAAAAGTATAATTATTTGTGTTGACACTCAAGCGACATCGAAGTTCAATAATATTTTACTTTATATTGCCGAAAACTGTAATTAACAAGCACATAACATATTTTTAGACATTGATTTATATTTTTATATTAAATATTATATGTATTGTGGTAACTGGTATTATACTAGATGATTAAAATACACAATAATATGTCATAAAATAAAATAATTTTATTAAAATATAAAAATTAAATATTTGGGAATTGGTATGCATGAATGTATCATAATGAGAATTCATAGGTATATGTTAAATACATTGATAGAAATTTAAGTAAAATAACTGTCAACATATTAATGATTTGTGTGAACTAGTGGCGTAACTGCGTAACTGCATAAAAAAATTTGGGAGGAGCCAAAAATAATATATTCACCAAAATTAAAACTATAACCTAATTGTTTGTTTTTACACAAGTCTTAAAGCTCATTTTATAGCTATTAGATGCAAATCGTAGCCACCCATATGGTCATATCGTTAAGTAATATTAAGTATCTAGATACTTAAGAGTAAAGATCCTTTAACTTGTTCTAAAATAATAATATGATGATAAACATGTATAATCAATGTGAAATAATATTATTGGGTTATTTTTGTAACCCAGATAATGCGATACAGTTGACATAGCTGCGTCAACATATTATTACAGCAGGAGATAGGTACCTAAGAGAAATAAAATATGTACTGAAGCTATATGGAATAATTTGAGGAAAAGAATATTTTGAACTTATAAATGTATGAAATGAATTCTTTCTTTATTTCGAAGATTTAAAAAACTTATTATTTCATACCTGTATTATATACAGGGTGTCCCGTGAGGATTTACTCATTGCGATATCTCCTGAAATAATAGAGATATCGTAATTCTGTTTTCTTATTAAGACTCACAGAGGTAAGCACTACAAATAACTAATTTTTTATTATTTGTTTTATGTTTTGATAAAAAAGTTAAAAAAATTATTTTTTTAATTAATTATTTAAAAAAATATTGAAAATTGCCATTTTGTAGAGTTCATTTTTCTGAAAATATTGACGTTTCAACATTTTAATTTCATTAATTTCCTGATTTTTAATAATTTTTTTAATTATTAAGTAAAACGGCAAAAAACCGGTTTTTGTCCGGGCGGCGAGTCCCCCTCTACGGCTAATAGGTAAATCCTCACGGGACACTCTGTATAATATATTATATGCACTATATATATGCTGGTACTGGTGGAATCCGTATATATTGCTATTAATTGTTATACGGATCTGTATCATGTCGAAGTTTAAATAGTAATTTTTGGTTACCCCCATTCCCTCCTATATTTTTTAAATCACTGTGTACGTCATAGCGTATAATATATAATGGGTAAACCGGTAAACTACCAAAAAGTACATTGTTTAAATGTCCAAGGCATAAAAATTCAAAGTTAAAAAAGTTCAAAGCCTAAAGATGGAACATGTCAAAAAACTCCAGAAAATATAATTAGGTAAAAGGAAAATTACGATTTTATACACAATTAATGTTGCCAATTAGTATTAATATAGTTATAAGGTATAACATATAATTAACCTGACAAAATTAACAAATAGTCTGGAAGGTACCAAGAGTAGGTGTAAGACTATTTGACTATTTATTATATATGACACTTAAGACTTTGATAGAAATTATTATTATGTATGTACCTATATTGGTTTTGTATAAATAATGAATTCGATTTTTTTTTAAATAAATTATTTAAAATATTATTGTGTATCGGACTTTTATACTTCGAATTTTTTTATTCGCGATTCAATATGTTGAACTGTGTACCCGTAACATGTTTTATTGGTAAAATTATTCTCTCCTCCAACAACAACTGACATTTTCTATTTTTTATTTGTTGTTATTGCATTTTTAGTATGTCGTTTCTTCGATAATTTTTCAAGGTATAGTGTCTTGAGGCAGTTTTAATTAAATTCCATCATTAATCACGCAACGACTTAGTGGAAAAAGAGCAGCAGGCAAACTGATTCTGTATGTATAAGTGAAAAATCCAGAAGAAAAATTACTGCTGTTCCTTATATACAAACATAACATATACTACACTCACGTACACATAAACACAGATTGCTTTGGGGATAGTACAATAAGTTACGTTTTAAAGAGTGGAGGTAGGGTGGAGTCGTAGAGGCAACACTGGTAAACACGACAGGAGAAAAATGCTTGCAACACAATTACACTAACCCCCTCCCAAGATTTAATAAGATATTTCTTTAAATTTACCGAAAACTACAATCAATTTAACAAATTAAATGATATATTATTATCTTATATTATATTAATAATATAGTATATAATATAAATAGCTATATACCTATGCCTATATAGGTATAATATTCATTATATATATAAATATATTAGTTACTCTACAAATTATTATATACATTATAGTTTTCCACTTTATACCTGAGTTATAATAATAAGTAGCAACAGTAAAATAAAGATACTTATAGTCATAAACAAACCCGGATTAAAGAGTGGCCAAGGGGGGCATGGTCCCGGGCCCATTGATTTTGGAGGCCCAT